TCTAAGCACTATGTCGTTAGCAGCATCCCATAATTTTGGTATGTTGTGTCTTTATTTTAATTTTTCTCCAAGTGTTTCCTAATTTCCCTTTTCATTTCTTCTTTGACTTAGTGATTATTTAGGTTGTTTACTTTCCATATATTTATAAGTTTCTTATATTTTATTCTGTTATTGATTTCTAAGTTCATTCCATTGTGGCCAGAGAACATACTTTGTATGAATTCTATCTTTTAAAATTTTATCTTATTGAGCTGGAACCCATACTACTAAGTGAAGTATCCCAAGAATGGAAAAACAAGCACCACATATACTCACCAGCAAACTGGTATTAACTGAGCAGCACCTAAGTGGACACATAGGTACTACAGTAATAGGGTATTGGGCAGGTGGGAGGGGGGAGGGGGGTGGGTATATACATACATAAAGAGTGAGATGCGCACCATCTGGGGGATGATCATGCTAGAAACTCAGACTTTTGGGGGGAGGGGAAAGGGCATTTATTGAAACCTTAAAATCTGTACCCCCATAATATGCCAAAAGAAAAAAAAATAAGAAACACTAAAGGGAATCCTTTAGGTTGAAAGGAAGGAATGGTGCATAGTAACTCGAGGTTGTAAGAAGAAATAAAGATCTTTGGTTATAATGTAAAAAAAAAAAATTATTTTATTTTACTTTTAGAGTTGGGGTCTCACAATATTGCCCAGGTTGGATTTGAATTGCGGGGTTCAAGGGATCCTGTCACCTCAGCTTCTCGAGTACCTGGGACTACAGGTGCGTGTCACCAGGTCTGGCTTTCTTTTTAAATTTATTGAGGCTTGTTTTATGGTCTAGCATATGGTTTATCCTGAAGAATCTTCTGTGTGCACTTGGAGAGAATTTATATTTTGCTGTTATCAGGAATAGTGTTCTATAGATGTCTGCTAGGTCAAGTTGGTTTATAGTGTTGTTTTAGTCTCTATTTCTTTGTTGATATTCTGCCTATATTTTCTATTCATATTGAAAGTGAGGTATTAAAATTCCCAACCATTAATGTTAAAATGTGTATTTTTCCACTTAGTTTCTGTCAGATTTTGCTTCATATATTTCAGTGCTGTTATTAGGTTCAATTATGTTTACATTGTTAATCTTCCTCATAGATTGACATTTATCTCATTATAAAATGTTTTTCCTTATCTCTAGTAAGATTTTTTGTTTGAAGGTCTTCTTTGTCTGATATTAGTATAGCCACTCCAGCTTTCATTTGGTTGCTGTTTGCATGATATATTATTTTCCATTCTTCTACTTTCAATCTAACTGTATTCTCTTCAAGAGGCCCTCCCCTCAGTTTGTCTCTTGATACATAGAAGAGGGCAAAGTGATTGACTTGATTTAGCAAGCCAATCACTCTCTATTTTGCCTTACTTTTCAACCTTTTGTGTTGGTACACAATCCAAAATTCTGTTCTGAATCTTAGAAACTAAATTGCTAGCTTTAAATTTCTCATTAAATTTGGAGCTGAAAAGTGGTTTTTCTTTTCCCAAATCTTTGGGGAAGTTATAAGATTTTATCATTTTATAATTTGCACATGTTTTGCACATGGCAAGACACAGAAGGTTTTTTTTTTTTTTTTTTTTTTTTTTTTAGTCTGGCTTTGTTGCCCAGGCTAGAATGCTGTGGCGTCAGCATAGCTCACAGCAACCTCAAACTCCTGGGCTCAAGCCATCCTTTTGCCTCAGCCTTCCAAGTAGCTGGGACTATAGGCATGCACCACCACGCCCGGCTAATTTTTTCTATATATAAGAAGGTTTTATTAATATAATTACAAACTCGGTTATTATGAATTGCCAGTCATCAGGTGTTAAGCATGTTCATCTCTTAAAATAAAATGATTTATTTAGTTTCTTAACATATTGTTTGTCTACCAATCCTGAATTTTAAAGAAGTTGAGTCTTCGCTATTGTATTAAACTAGAGACAATCTGATTCAGCTTATATTATATCTATAAACAAAATCAAGACATCATTTGCATATGCTATCACTATGTATCTCTTATTTATGACCTGACACATTCTCCTAAAGTATTTCAAATCCAAGTATTGCAAATTCTATTTTATACTATCTAGCTTCCTTAAATCATATCAAGAAGAAGACAGCATAAACAGAAATGTAAATTTTAGTGCATATTTCATATATACTTTTGTTTTGAGGGGAAAAGTTATATTGTCAGTATGCTAGTATGCATATCATGCTATGAACTTGACTGCTGAGTTAGATGGGCTTGTAGAGCTATTCTTTTAGTATTTGAAGTGCTAAGCCCCCAAATCTCCAAGTGGGAGCCTAAACCATTATTATAATTCTCACATAATTAACTATATCATAACATTCTAGAGCTAAGGTTGGAATGAAAGTTTTATAGTGCCGCTTGTTTATTGTTAATAAGATTTTTGAACTCTCCACACAGATCTTGAAAATTCTAAGAGACTAGTAGATTTTTAGGAAAAAATTGTGAAATAACAGACACAAAATATGAGCAATTATTAATAATGTGAAGTAAGAATTATCCTATAAAATAAATATTAAACAAAAATAAATAAATAAAATTAAATGCCTTTTTAAATATTACACAGTTCTCTAGTAGTGTTGATGTCACATAGTGATTTCTGTTACACTTATTACATTTTCAGCTTTGGATTAGGAAACAAAACAGCAAAATCAGAGGAAATGTGAGAACTTCAGAGGTACTTAGGAAGGGGAAATATTACACAAAATAAAGATGGAGTTACTGACTTTTTCCCCAAAGACAAAATTGTATTGTAGAGAAGAGATTAGAGAAAACATTTTAATAATTTATGCAAGTCTCATTAGTCATCTCTTTAAAAATATTTTTCTTAGTTTCTAGCCCAGTGTAATGTCCTTATTATGAAGGATATTAAAGTTATTTCAAAAATTGATGTAATGATATTAATAGCACATCCCCTGACTTCTGTCTGCACACAATTTCTAAAACACTTATTTGGTATTGACAGATTGTAATTGTCAAAGTCATTGGAGACTTTTGGGTTAAATTCTTCTTGGGGAATTTACAACCATGGAGAATCTGGAGACAAAAAGAAGAGAAGCCTTTTGTGATGAGCCTAAAATCTTTTACTGAAAAACAGTTATTTGAAATGATCTTTCAGTTTGAAAAATAATACCTTTTATACAGTTTATTTTCTATACCTACAAACAACAAAATAAAAAGCAAAAATAGTTATAATGCTAATGAAAATTTTTATAAACTACACGTGTGAGGTCCACTTGTAAATTAGTACTTCTATTTTACTCCTTATTAATTTGAGAAATTGATTTTGGTTTAGAAACACTTCTGTAATTTAAAATTATATAATAAATCTTTGAGAGTTTTTTTAGTTAGATGTTTTTTCACAGTGAAACACTTTGTTAATGATTCAATTGTTTCTTTAAAATTTCTATTTCATAGATACCACCTTTATTACAGTGTTTTCCTTCAATAAATACATAATATTTGGAGATTTTTCTACCTACTGTGTCAGCAAGATTCCCTGGTATCCAAATAAGGACAGTTCCTTGTGGTACTTATTATTTGAGTAACTTGGGAGTAGAGAGAGGCACATCAAACAAGAGTTGTATTTCTAGGATATTTCTGTTTTTCATCGCCTACTCTTCTCTCCTCTTTTACTTCTGAAAAGAGAAGCTTTGCGCTCTGCCTCTGTGGATTTGAAAGAAAAAGTATCTCCCAGGCCAAAGACTGCTCGGAAAAAAAGTTTCCCTAAAATCAAAACAAAACAAAACAAAAATTACAGAACTTTTCCTTTCTCCGCGGTATTTTCTCATTTTTCTTTCAGACCTGCTCCCCTCCACCCCATTCGTTTTCCTGCGCTTAGTAAATAAAGAGGAACTTCCAATATCTTAGCTAAAAGAAGGGAAGAAGAGCGGGAGGGATCCAGGGAGCCAGGGAAGAAGGGAAGAAAATACGAAACAAAGAAAGTTAAGTTTAAAAACCTTTTGTTCTTTCCTGAATCAAGAATGCAGAAAACTTCAGAATGAGGGCACTTTGTGAAAATCAGATTGACATTAAAAGATTAGTTCAAGTCATTCCATTTCAGAATCTTGCAGAGATACACTCTTGCGGCTACTTTGTGGGAAAGCTGGTCAGGGAGGGTCAGTAATGTTAGGTAAGGATCAAATCTGCAGGTGGTGGGTGCGGGCCAGGAGGGCGGTTCCTAGCGGCAGAAAAGCCAGGGACCAATCAGGGGAAGGGACTGCAGGAAAATGCAGAACACCTGGTAATCATTTGGTAATCTCCCACACCTCCTTGTAAGCCCTCTCCGGGGACCAGGCCAATAAAAGGAAACCACCTGGGAGTCGGTAAGCCTTTCTCCACTGATGGAGACTGATCCGTTCTTCTCTCTCTGGAACATATTTTCACTTTGGGTAGCTTCTTTTTTTACTTTCTCTTTGTATAGTTTCTTTCTTTGCTGTAATAAACTGTGTGGGATTTCTTTGTGCTTGTGATCGCTCCATCATCAACTCAACTTGGTACCCGTACTCACTCTTGACACTGGGAACCGAGGACCAGGGAATTTGAGATAGATCAATCAAGGTTGGGTCAGTAATTGCATTCAGATCTGGAGGCACAGGGTTAAGGGGAATGAATCCTTGTAGGGCCCATGACTGGAGGTGGTCAGAATACATAAATCCTAACACAAGGGCAACCACCTCTATTGGTTGATCAAATCAAATGAAAATAAAGTTGTTAAAGCTAACATACCTCAAAAACGCATTCTGAAGAGTGTTGTTGATTTGTTTATGGTATTCATAAATGCAAGTTAAGTCACCTTTGATTTACTAAGAGATTCTGACATTTCAGATGGTGTCTATGTGCAATAGTGGATTTATTTGCTTTATTTTTGTTTTTGGAAACAATTCTAATTGAAGACTGAACTAAGTCAGCTAACAAAACACATTATATAAAAACACCTGTCTTTCCTTCCCAGCTCAGGAGTGCTCTCCCGGGGGACACCAGTTTCTTCAGAGTCCGTATAGAAATGTCCATTTTGACTCATTGCACCTCCAGCAGTCAGCTGCTCAAGAACTGATATGCGACCATTCCCTCTCCCCTGGATGGTATCGATTTCTCATCTTTGATAGACCTGCTGAGATGCCAACCAAATGTGTCGAGGTATTTCAACTCCCTAAGAACTACATGCACTTTTCCTTATTTTTTTTAATACAAATGTTGAATCTTCTGACAACCAATTTATTTATCATGTTGAAATGTTATTTTAATTTTGTATCCAGATTGAGTTTATTCAAAGGAGTATTCTCATGTTACCTATTCTAGTAATAACAGTAATAATAGTAATAGTTAATGTTATGCTCCATGCAGTCCATGAGTGACTTTACCTACAACAACGCATATAATTTTCACAAGTGTAGGGTAGTATTTTTTATCATTATTATTTCCATCACACAATGCAGGAAACATGCACAGTTCTCCTAGAGTCACCCAGTTAGCTGGTCAAATAGTTAAGTTTTGAACACAGGTAGTCATTCTCCAGGGCTTAAGTGCTTAGCCACATGTAGCCTGCAACCAGTAAAATGCTATATATGTTAATTGCTGCCTGACACTGCCATTCTTAACTGATGACTGGAAACCTATAGGCTCAGCACCTCCTATTCCAAGACTAAAGAGAACCCAGCTTGGCAGAGAAATCTCCAAGTATTTCTTGGTCCCGATCTGTAGACTGTGCATCTGCAGAAAATTCAATACCATGGAGCTATGTGGCCTCATTCCGTGGAAGTTTCCTCTTCAAACCCACAATTTATGCAGCCAACATACCTGTTTTTCTTTATAGTTGTTAATACACAAACATGTGTCTTTCAAACACATCATGTTTAATTTTGTCTATTTTTGAACTTTTTATACACGAAATCACATAGGATGTATTTTTCTGCAACTTAGCTTTTCACAAAGCTTACTCTCCTGACCCACAAGATATGATAATGATTCTTATCATGGCAATGCCTTGTTTAGTGAGCTAGCCCTAGTGGCTTCTTTCACTCAGGGAGCTTTGATGAGTATATTGGCTTTCAAAATGCCTCAAAGAATAAGCACATGAAGATGGTCAGACTTGGTGGCTCACGCCTGTAATCCTAGGTGACCAAGGTGGGAGGATCGCTTGAGCTCAGAAGTTCAAAACCAGTCTGAGTAAGAGTAAGACCCCATCTCTCCTAAAAATAGAAAAATTAGCTGAGCATCGTGGTGTGCACCTGTAGTCCCAGCTACTTGGGAAGCTGAGGCAAGAGGATCACTTGGGCCCAGGAGTTTGAGGTTTCAGTGAGCTATGATGATAGCACTGCAGTCTACACTGGGTGACAGAGTGAGACTCTGTCTTAAAAAAAAAAAAAAAAGAAGCAAAAGAAGAATGCATGCAAGACATGGTTTCTTGGGTATTCCTCGGCTAGCTTGCATTCCTTTTCTAGCTACTCCTTGAATTTCTATTGAGAATTTACTTACCATTAGCATGATTTTCCAATGCAAGTTCTACCAATTCATTCACAGTCCCCATTGAGCTGATGATACTGTCATCAAATAGACATTATCTCTATGACACTTTTAACCAGTTAGCCTTTCAATTCAATTCCTGTTATTGCTACCACATTTTTATCCACATCATCTTAGAATGAGACTAAGTCTAAATCTGTCCAAAGACTAAGTGCATCAACTCAGCATCCTAAGTTAAAGGAACAAACTGGTAAGGGAGGGTTTTAACCTAACATTTATTTTGCAACTGATATTATACACTGGTGGACATTATCACCTATGTAAACTCACTAGATCTCTCAGGGATGCTAGTGTTACTTCATTATAAAGATGTGGATGCACACACTGAGTTCGCATCACATGACCAAAGTCACATGCCTGGGGGGAGGCAGCACAATATGCATCGTCTTCTACAGCATGAAGCTTCTCCATGTGTCTCAGCTAATGGTTTCCCAAGTGAGTTCTGGCATAAGCTGTGTTCAGTTGTGACAGGTAGCTAATACAGGTACTAAATAGGTCCATGTTGTGCTTGCCAAATTACTAAAGGTATTTATCATCATGCACACTTTTACTCTAGGTAACCATACACTGTGTTGGGTGTGATTTTTGTTCTTAAAAGCGATTTCGTTTTAACCTAGAGGACAGGCAGCTACTATTGACCCCTGGGATAAGACCATATCATATAAAATTATGTCTCGTTTTCCCTATTGTTGCCCACATTTTATGACTTTTGCAGGAAGAGGAATTATTTTCCTCTTAGGCAATAATGTAAAAAGAGCCCAGGAAAGACATTCAAATTTTGACAATGTCTAATTTTAATTTATGGCTCTGTGGATAAATCTTATTTTCTCTTTTTTATTTGCTTATTTTTGTTACTTTTATGACATTTCGTTGGTAAGAAACTAAAAATTAAAATCAGAATTTAAAAATGAAGTTCAAGAAAATTGGAGGAAATTCACTACATCCTTAAATATTTGTGTTCCTTTCCTTTGACTAAATTAGTTACAATTGATTCTAGAACCTCACACAAATGTAAAGGGGAAATGGTTTCCGTGGCTGTTTTCTGGGAGATCAGCTAGCACGTGATTATGCTGTGCTCCATGGTGTTCTCAGGTGTTACCCTCACATTCCCTTCTTGAACCAAGACTTTAAAGCAATCAACTGGGAAGTTGATAGAATTTTTTTTCTCTACAGGATAATACATATCTGTTTAAATAAATTTCTATTTGTGATGTTTAAAGTAATAGATATGCATTACAGAAAACTTAGAAAATAGAGAACAGAAATGGGACAATATTAATTCACCATCCATCCACACAGTCATAACTCCATTAACATTTGCTATGATAGTTTTATTTATATTGTTTTGTAAGGTTCACTCTATATGTCCAATTGCATAACATGCTTTTTTTTTCAGTTACAGTTATAGCATTAGCATGTTCCTATGCTATTATAAATTCTTTCATAGAATTCTTGAAAATAATATTCTGTCATAAGTGTATAGTATATTTAAATCATTGCCATATGTGTGCCCATTCAGGATTTTGCTATAAGTAATTCTTCAATTAGCAAATATACATATAATTATTGTTTTAATTTTAGTCTCTTTAGTAAGATTGATTTTTTTGTAAAATTAAAATTAGTGAAGTTTAATGTCTTTTTGAGGTTTTGATACATATAATTAAGTTGTTTATTTAAAACATAATGATAATTTGTAATTCCAATAGCAGTAGATAAAAATATCTTTTCAAAATTGAATATTCTTCTGTATTAATTAGACATCTATATTTTATGAATTATGTGTTTGTATATTTTGTCCATTTGTAGTCTTAGAGTTTTTAAATGGATAATATTCCAAAATAAAATAAAAAATCAATAATATAACAATAAATAACATGCTAAATATATTAATTACAAGTAATTTTCTCCTTATTTAATTCTTATTTATTTTATATTTTTAAAATTATTTAATTCTATCTCTCAGTATTTCCTCTATTATTTTTCCTTTGCTTTCAAGCATGAAAGTAATATTAGGAATTATAATCTGGTTAACAATTATTGAACCATTGCTATGTGGAAGTTGCATTATATACATTATTTTATTTGTACCTCACCATTGGACCTTGACATGGGTACCACTATTCACCTAATACAAAATAAAAGGGTTTTGAGTGCCTTACCCAGAGTCATGCATTTAGTATGTGCCTAGTTCTCCCAAATTATATATAGCTTCTCCTTATTTTTCCTGGGTTAATTTTCTATGTAATTCTATTTTTCATCTGGAAATGACTTTGACAATTGGCTTCAAGTAAGGCTTTAACTTTATTTTTTCCAAATTGCTACACAATTGTTCCATTGCCAGATTTTGAACAATCCCTTCTTTTTTCCTTTTGTTGCCTCCTGAACTATGCATTAACTTCTCACATATACCATTTCTAGCAATTTTGCAAGAAATTTCCAAGATCAGTTTGTCTTTGTACTCTGTGTTAAGATGAGGTCAGATCGACTTATTTTGTCTTAGAATGTATCATCTATTTTAGCAAGTTATCCAAGATTGAATTTCTCTTCTTTACAATGCAAGTGCAACAAGTGGAATAAAGGTATTTACATTGAATATATTACAATATATAAATAATGAGGTGTCTACCCTTAAAACCCTTAAAATTAGTATTCCTTACAATTACTTTTTCTTGTATAGTTCAGGTTCAAGTTATTCGATTTTTAAAAAACGATGGATAATTTAATATTTTAAAGGCTGTTTAGAAGAAAACTCAAAGTTGATATATCTACCATGTGTGAAAATACATTGGATTTTCAACTTTTGTTTTCTCTGATGCGAAAGATGAACCACTGTGGAACTCAGGCCCCCATCTGGCTCTCTCTGAGGGATTCGGAAACACTGCCACCTCCTGGGGAGATCAAGCAACTGACAGCTTGTGCCACATGGCAGTTTTTGTTCAGCACTAGAAAGGACTGCTGTCTCTTTCAAATTCCGGTGTCTGTGAGAAACTGTGGGGAATTTTTTGTGTACTTACTACAACCCACTCCAGGATGCATGGGCTATTGTGCAGAAGGTAAGAAAGCATCAATAATACACATGAACTGCTAATTATGGAACTGTGTGTTCATGTGTTTTTTGTACTTTCCTCAGGATAGGTTGTATTGAGCTAATGCAAATCTCAGTAAGACACTTGGTCTACCATTATTGCTAGATTGAAGCTAAATTTCTGTATAAATTGGCCAGATTTGTTTAGAATTCTTTGCTAAGATCTTAAAATCCTCAATGAACATAATGCTTGTGTGTTAAAAATTATTTTGTTTCCTCAAGCCCTTTCACCCTTTAATTAAGGGATGAAGAATGGTGAGTAAAAGTTATCATGGAAATACGTACTTTATATTATTTCATCTTTCATTAACCAACATTTATTGAATGCGTATCTTGTGTCAGGAATTATTTTAGGCCTTGGGGTTATAGTGATGAGCAAGACAAAAAGAGAGAAATCAAGGACAGTATCTAGGGTTTTTCTTGAGCAACTAAGATGGGAAAGACTAGGGTACAAACACATCGCTGTGGGGAGAGGGAGGATTCAAGAGGTCTATTGTGGTATCCAAGAGGGGACACGACATTTGCAGACAGAGAATACACATCAGCTTCATGAGCATGACCCTGACCATGGTGTTGCCTGGGGACATTGTGGAATAAAGATCTTTGCTGGGAATTCCTGTGACACACCATCACAGAGCTCCACAGATAATTGAACTTAAAATTTTTTTTTTGTTTTCTTTTTCTCTGTACTCAACTATGACTATGAACTCTTTGAAAACAATGTGCCCTTTGCATCAAGGTCTCATGACCTTGGTATCCTGAACAAAATAGGGATTCACCAAGCGCATATTTGGGCCACTCGTTTAGTAGGAGTAACCCAACTCCTCCGAAGCAAGAAGCTCAAAACCACATAATGAAAATTTTTTGCTTAGACTGTTTAGATAATAGTGAAGCTAATAAATGAGGAATGTATCTTATAGGTTTGGGGAAGGGTGAGTGTGCTCATGTGTGACGAACATTTTTGTTCTGAGGTTGTTAGATTCTCCAAACTGGCAAACCCTGAATAACACAGATACAGCAAAACAAGTAATATAATTAATTTACTTGTGTATTATAGTAATTAAAATGAAACATTGTCTTGGGTTTTAACAACCAAGTATATATAAATTAAATATCCAATCTTAAAAAACATTTTGCTCATCCTAGCTATGGAATTTGAACCAGTAATGTTAGAAGAATTAATTCCTTTAAGTTTCTAGCATTTTTACCTCTTGAGAATTGGTTCTGATGCCAGAAAAAAAGCTTAAGTTTTCTCTCATGGTTAATTATTTCTTTGAAAATGTAAAAGAACAATTTTAATATTTGGGGGAGTTTGTAACATTCTTTTTTATTTTTTTTTTAATTTATTTATTTTTTTTTATTTTTTTTTTTTTTTGAGACAGAGTCTCACTTTGTTGCCCAGGCTAGAGTGAGTGCCGTGGCGTCAGCCTGGCTCACAGCAACCTCAATCTCCTGGGGTCAGCGATCCTACTGCCTCAGCCTCCCGAGTAGCCTGGGACTACAGGCATGCGCCACCATGCCCGGCTAATTTTTTTTTTGTATATATATTTTTAGTTAGTCAGTTAATTTCTTTCTATTTTTGGTAGAGACGGGGGTCTCGCTCAGGCTGGTTTCGAACTCCTGACCTTGAGCGATCCGCCCGCCTCGGCCTCCCAAAGTGCTAGGATTACAGGCGTGAGCCACCGCGCCCGGCCTACATTCTTTTTTCTTAACAACGACAAGCACCCCATAATATTTCCAAATGACTTCTAAAGTTGATGTAAATATAGCATCATTGGCTAAAATCTCTAAGTATTTAAGACATTATTGTCTACATGACAACAGAGACTAAAAGATAATGTTCTTAATATATCATTTTATTATTTCATTGTTTTTAGAATATATGCTACATTTGTGAAAAATAAAATTGTTTAGATTTACTTTGTCATTCATTGCAAGGCAGTAGTTGTATATTTTTTTAATATAGAACTTTTTTTTCTATTTTTTTTTATTTTAGCATATTATGGGGGTATAAACATTAAGGTTATGTACATTGCCCTTATCTCCCAGGAGTTGTATCTTTAAAAAAGGAAATGATTTAAAGTTATTGTTTACTAAGATGGAAGTAAACTTATAAAATTAGTAATTTGAAAAGGTATTTATTGGCAATATTCCACAAGTATAATAATCTACTAGTTATTTCACACATCTGTGTTGCTGGAGGCATTCCTTCTTCCAACCAACAGGGCAAGTCCTTATTGAGGAATGATCAAAAACAAATGTGATCCCTGCCTTCATGGCACAGAATTTTCATGCAATTACAAATTGCAGTTAATGGTATGAATACAAAGATTAAAAATTGCTGTAGAAGAGTACACTGGAGGTGAGGAGAGGATGTCATTAATAATGAGGTGTCACCAGAAAGAGCCTCTTCTGACAAAAGGGTATTGATGCTGAGAGCTGGATGGTAAACAGCCCTCGGTCAGACAGAGTGAGTGGAAGCAGCAACAGCAGCAGGTGACAGGCCCTAAGGCAATAAGTGTATGTTGTGCCTACAAGAGTGAAAGCAGGGCAGAAATATTGGATCTCGATGCGTGAGAGAGAGCATTACAAGACATGAGTACGGAAGAGCAACAAGCCTGATCGGTTAGAGAGTTCTGCATTTTATCCTCTGTGCAATGAGAAGTCCATGGAGAATTATCCTGAGGGAGTGAGCTGGTAAATCTTCACAGTCCTTACAGCCTGTTTATTAAGGAAGGGCAGCATCTGCTCAGTTTAGTAGAGCTAGTACCATTCATTGGGAAGGAGAAAGTCTGGAGAGATTCATCAGTCTCATCAGCCAAGATGAGATATTTTGAAAAAATTCAAAAATATTTTTCAGTACTCTTATCATAAAAAATAGTTAACTTCTGTAAAACTTCCTGTGATACTACCAAATGTTTGTGGGAAATTCTGTTTTATGGAAACACCAATGATTTATCTACATGAGTTAAGAAACACTGAGAACTATAAAAAATGAAAACAAAACTTTCACACCAGAGAATACCATAAAATACAAATAGTCACTTCCCCAGAGCTCTTACTGTTTACACTGAATTTTAAAAGTAATATTTAAAATTCACATATTGTGACACACCTTGAAATTTTGAAATATATTTCCTGCTTTATTAATGTCACTACCATCCACTCATTTTCTCAACCTTTAATATTCAAAATTGCCTCTTTTATTCTCCACATTAAAGTCCTCCAAATATTTAGGATCTGGAATTTCTGGGAGACTGTTGTTATTTTTCATTTTTAATGTGTGAGTTATTAAGCAGACTTATTGTCTTCTCTGATTTACCAATAAAATCTTGCCTTGAAATGCCATTTAGAATTTGACTGAGACTGCATAGATAGCAAATAAAAATGACAGTCACTTAACCTACTTACGAGTTTCTTTTTTTTTTTTACTTACCAAGTATCTGGAACAGGTGTTTCCTGCTGATGGTGACTTGGCCACTTTACAATGTCAGGCTGAAGTCTCTGTGATTTGCTAATCTTTTCCTTCATGTTGACAGGATGAAGATCCAGTTTTAGCCTTTTTATCTGCATTTTAGACAGGATAGAAAAGAAAGCTCAAAAGGTGAAGGAAGGCTTGTGCTGAGACCTACTCCCTTTTAAAGGACTTATTTGGAAAAAGCCTTATCACAACTACTTTAGAAGCATTTTCAGGCTCGTCTCTATCTTCAAAGGCAGCCTGTCAAATGTCTCGTTTTACTTGGACATATTGCTGCCTCCAGCCAATATATCTTATCTGGCTGGAAGCCATGTTATTTACTTTAAAAATCACCAACAATAAAAGTTAGAGAATACGATTTCACTTTAACAGTATATTCTCATGACGATTTTTTATTATAATTTATATATATTTACATAATTTATTTATCCTTAGAGACTTTGAAAAGCCAAATAAGAAAAGAAGCATTAATTCAAGATCATACTTGAAATCAAAGCCATTTTAACAAAAATATGTATATTTTGGGAACGTTGGATCTTACAGAAAATCCATGGAAATATACATATTTTTTACATTTTCTGTATTTCTAGTTCACAGTTTAGTTAGGTTCTTATGATACATATGAAGCGGCATTGTGTCCATTAAAAGTAGGCTATTAAAAGTTAAAGACGTATTTTATAACCCCTAAAGTACCCACTAAAATAAAACAAAACATTATAACTAATCAGCCAAAAAGGGCCATAAAATGGAATCTTAAAATATGATCATTTTTTTAAATACAGGAAAAGATGAAAAATGAAACTGATAGGATAAATAGAAAACAGCAATATGGCAGATTTAAACCTAACAATATGAACAATCACATTAAATATATGTGATTTAAACACCCCAATTGAAAGGCAGAAATTGTCAAATTGGATCAAAAAGCAAGACTCAAGACTCATAGGCTGCCTAAAAAACAACTTACTTCAACTATAAAGAAAAATTAGTTCAAAAGTATAAGGCTAGAATAAGATATACCTAGATAACACTAATGTCAAGAAATGTAAATTGGCTATATTAATATTAAACTAAGTAGACTAGAGAGCAAAGACTATTACCAGGAAAAACAAGTATCATTTCCTAATGATAAAATGTTCAATTCAACAAGTGAACAAAATAATTCTAAATGATTATGTACCTAATAATAGACTCAAAATACATGAAGCAGCTACATTTATCATTAGAGATGAACACCATCTGTCAATAATTGATTGAACATGTAAAAACAAAAACAGCAAAAATGGATACTAGAACACTTTACCAACCAACTTGATCTAAATGACATGTAGAGAAGACACCACAAAACAATAGCAGCATAGACATTCTTTACAAGTGTATATAAAACATTTACCATGATAAACCACATTCTGGGCCCTAAAATAAGAAAATTAGAATATTTGATAATAGTTGAAGATGATTAAAATTAAAAGCCACTAAACATCTATATT